CCCCAAAACCCCAAAACCCCAAAACCCCAAAACCCCAAAACCCCTAAAGCCAAGAATTTACAATATCTTAGCTTAATTAAGGAATTATAATTAATTTTCCTAATAAAAATGAGCATGCATAATTAAGCAGCTATAGCTCCACCGGGAGCGACACAAAGTTTCACTCCAAATTTAAGTGGTTTATCTTACGCAAGCTAGCCATTTTAGTATATGAATTCAGGATCTCTGTAAAAATTGAAAAAGAGTGTGTCTTACTAGCCGTATCAGGACTAATTTAAGAGCCTAGCAAATGGAGCTTAAAATCCTGACAATAATGCACTTAATCACAGTCAAAATTATCATCAATTAGCTCCTTAGTAATTGAGCTAATAAGTCGCTTCATTTTAGTCTCAAAATCCCTAGGTTGCATTGAATTAGGGTTATTCATACTATCCTATTTAAGGCTATACAACTATGTAGAGCTAAATGAAGCAAGCAGGTTAATATCCTATTTCACTGAATTCTGGCTTCAATCCCATATCTTAGTAAGAGTCATCTTCTTTCCCAAATTAAAGTGCTATTTAAAATAGACCTTATCAATAGTAGCAATATCAAAGTTATTGTTTGTACAACTCAGCAATATAGAATGGTGCTTACTATGCCTAACCAAATTTAAATACTTATCAACAAAACTAGCCATTTGATTAGCAAAGCATGAAAAGATCACTGTCTAATTATGAAAAGTTCCAACCTGATTAATATCAGAAAATTAAAGCTCAAAGTAGAGTTAAAAAAGGAACAAATTTTAATCTCAAATTTTAGAATTCTGCAAATACAAACAAAAATCCTGAATTAACTGAGAGCTAAGTCGATGATTAAAATTAAGAAGATAGGAAAAAGCGGAAATGCAATAGAAATTTAGAGCTTATGCCTGCAGATGTTGATGAGCTTGTTAGTGAGTTAGTTTAAAATCAAGATATAAAAAAGAAACTTAAAAAGAAAAAGTAAAAAGCAGTATCTCAGCTAAATACTATATCAAATGTTGCAAGCATCAACAATTTAAGTAATTTAAATCCAAATTAAATTAATGAAAATTCAAACAATGAGCAACTTGAAGATATTCAAATTTTGGAATAAAATTAAAAAGCCTAACATAATGATTAAACAAACACCAAATCTATTGATCAGCTTGTTGATAATATAGCCCAGAAAAGAGGTTAAAATTTTGACAAAGAAAAAGGTCAATTTACGTACAGTGAGTGGGATTTTCCATTACAGCTAGATTTTAATAATAATGATCCCTCTAAAAATAAGGATCAGAAGCAAACACAAAGCAGATAAAAAATGCCTTAAAATTAAAAAAGGGATAATCAAAATAATGGTAAATATTAAAAACATTTATAATAATTATGAAAATAGGTTAACCAAAAGAGTGTATGACAAAGGCTAATAAAGAATAGAAAATCTATGAATAAAAGTCTAAATAAGAAAAAATAGCATCTATTTCCTAATTGGATAAATTAGACCAGAAGATTGATTAAAAATAGAAGATTTTCAAAGAAGATTTAGACCAAAAGCCTGATTAAGAAAAATATAATGATAATAACATATAATCTGAAAACCAGGATGAAAGTGACTATATGAAAATGTGGAGGAGTTTACCGAAATCTTAAAAGGAGAGGCTTACTAAAAAGTAAATCAAAAGAATTGACAAACCTGATATATTGTCTGAGGCAATTGGAGTCACCGTTCTGGAAGAAAAACCTAAAGAAAAGAAGATAGTCATCCAAAATGTTGATTCTCTATAAAAAGATAACCTCAAAATTGAAGATAAAGGCTTACACTAGATAAAGCTAAAGAAAAAGTAACAATAAAGTTCAAGCTAGTAATTAAGTTTTGGTAATTACATGAATAATCAAGACTCTGTAAACTAGTCCTTCTCTCAACTTTCATAACAGCTACATGATAATTAAAGCATAACTAGAACATATATTCAAAGTGCAGGACACAAGTAAAATTCTAATGTAAGAGACTACAAGTTAAGAGCAAGCAACTTTGGACCTAATCTTGGTAGGAATAATTATATTAGTAATAATATGATGCCTTAAAACAATAAGTAAAAATAAAAACCAAAGAAAATAGTAGTTGAGGAAAGAAATGAAAATAATGAGATTGTTAGATAAATTATTGAAAAAGCTAAACACAGGAAAATTACAGCTTTAAAGAAAGCAATTATGAGAATGAGAGAATCAAAGGCTAAAAAGGAGAAGATTAACAAACAAATTTTAAAAACCAAAGAAGATAGCAAAAAGAAAATGAATGAAAATTGTAATAATGACGAAGAATTTTCTAGTGGGTATGTAACTATTGATGAAGCTCTGCTACCAGATGATGTCTAAGATTTAAAGAGAGAGAAATCTGATCTCCCAAATTAGACTAGGAAATTCCCCTATAAACCTATATTTGGTCACCTTGAATAGATCTGTCAAGAGGTTCTATTTGATTTGACAAAGAAAGATTTAGAAAGCATACCTGATCCTGAATCGAAGAAAATCAAATTAGTCGTTAATATTGACGATGAAACTCAAGAAAAATCTTATCAATTGCATCCTAAGAAGAGTGTCAGAGAATACGTTGATATGATTCAGAACGAAAGTTTAGAAATTCAAGTTTAGAATCTGATTTAAAAGCTTAAAAAGCTTTACTTCAATAGAAAAGTAAATCCAAACAAGAAGGGAAAGCTTACAAGAAGTGTAAAAAAGAGGTATATTGTTGGTATCAAAGAAGTCGCCAAGCATCTTGATGCAGAAAATCTTAAAATGGTGATTCTTGCTATAAATATTGAGAAAGTAGAAGGTGATAATGGGCTTGATGACTATATCAGCCATGTTGTATCTTAATGTAGAGACTTTAAAATTCCATTGGTATATTGCTTTACAAGATATAAACTAGGATTAATAACAAAATTTTAAGGATAAATGGCTTCTGCTGTAGGAGTTTTTAATTTCTAAGGAGCAAATGATGAGTTCAATACTCTTGTGGCAAAATCGAAGGATTAAAGGAGAGAATTTTATAAGTAGATTGCTAAAAATGTTTCTGAATATGATGTGCTTTTGCTTAGAAAAGAGAATAGATTCCTAGATTGGTAATTATTTGATTAGGTCAAAGCTGATCCTTCAACATTTTACCTCTGATTAATTTAAAAACTTTAGATTTAATCCTTAAAGTAATTAATTCTAAAATTTAAATTTCTATTTTATGGTCTGATAGAGGGGTTTTGGGGTTTTGGGGTTTTGGGG